GGGCTGAATTGGCTGGATGGAGGGCACACTATGGGAATACAGCCACTCCAATGCATACCCCTCACTTCCCGACCCCTTCCTGCCTAGAAAGTTCTACCATCAGCAGAGAATCTGATTTGGACATTCTAGGGTGTTTTAAGGTGAGGGGCCAACAGAGGAGCCCACCTTTACCCAATGATATGTTTTTAATCAGGGAGGGGCATTCCAGCTACCAATCAGCTTTCAGCTGAGGCCAGGGTCCCTGTGGCCCCGCCCCCCTCCTTCCCCTGTGCTGGAAGGAGGTGCCCAGAGTTTGACCGCAGTGGGTCAGACCCCCCCCGCGACACTGTGAGTCCTGCAGGTGCTTTAGCGCAGGTTGGAGTGTCATCGTCACACAGCCACGGGCCACCTATACACCTCCATCACTACACCAACAGAACGTTTAATGGCGGCTGCTGTGAAAACAGTTTGGATTAAAAAGAAAACATAAAGCACTAAATCTGTTTTTGAAAGGGGCGCAGGACCTCATCTCCCATTTGGGGGGGGGGGGGGGACTGCCGTGTAAAATACGGTTATGGCCGTCTCGCAGTAAGGCGCGGCCTGATGAAATTTGCAGGATCTGATGTTACTGGGATAATAGCTGTCCCTCGTGATTTGTTTGTCTCGTGAAAAATTAATGGCGCACAGGGACTGGGGGCCGTGTGGATACGGAGGGGAGGCTGGAGCAGGGTTATTCATTATAGGTGCACGGTAATTATGCACGCAGTGGGACCTTGGTGAGGTTATGGCAGGACAGGATAACAGGTGGTGTGGGACCCCCCCACCCCAGGGCTCTTTGTGTCGCCCGACAGAAGCTGCTGTTACATCTAAGAGCCTGTTGTATCTAGGCACCATAACCCGAATTCTGCAGGGCAGGTATCCAGCTGTATGAACCCCTGTGAGCGAAATCATAAGCAACGATAACAGCTGCGGTTTTATAAGTAACGTTAAGAGCTGCGGCCTGGGTTTGGTCTGATGTCTGCCTCCCCGGTTCCTGCCCAGGAGCGAACGCCAAGCTGAGGTACCAGATCACGGCGGGCGACGTGCTGGGTGCCTTCGACGTGGAGCCCGAGGTGGGCACGGTGTTCATCGCGCAGCCGCTGGATTACGAGGTCGAACGGCGCTATGAGCTGTTGCTGGTGGCCTCTGACGGCAAGTGGGAGAACCGGACGGCGGTGGTGGTGAACGTGGTGAACCGCAACGACGAGGCGCCGCTCTTCGGGCAGAACCAGTATCACGCGGCTGTCACCGAGGAGCTCAGCGGCGGGCCCGTGCTGGTGCTGGAGGTCAGGGGGGCGCCGAGGGCTCGGGGGGGTGGCTGGGTTATGGATGGACGGACAGACGGAGAGATAGATAGATAGATAGATGATGGATGGATGGATGGATGTGTTTAAGTGGTTCTGATTCATTCAGACAGTCAGTGACCCCCCCCCCCCCACAGGGTTGCAGACTTGTTTAATGAGGCGCTAATGAAAACAAAACAAGAGGGTGATGTAGGATGGGGAAAAGGGAAAGAACAGTGACAGATCAGCATGGTGACAAAGCGCAGCTTTCGTCTGTAATAGGATCCCACAGCAAGGCCGCCTCCACTGGCAAACATACGGTTTGCCGAGCAGTGAAGCTCCGCGCCTGTCTGGGGCGGGGGGGGGGACCCCCATGACCCGGAGTGTTTCCTGGTGTTTATGAAGGTGCCGGCACGTGCCGATCGTCAGACTTCAAAGGTTTTTCTGTAAACAAACCCTCTGGTTAAAGACAACAAAAAAAATCTGAATTTCATCTTTGCCGTGCCTATTAACTTTTAATTGTGTTTTACGCCCGATGATGGATATTTGGGATCCATTTGCATACCCCTCCCCCCCCCCCAGCGAGATGGAGATGACTTAGTTTGCCTCATAGCTTATGGGGGGAAGTGAAGTTTTCAACCGCGTGTCCCCGCAGGTGTCAGCCATCGACCCCGATCAGGAGGCAGACCAGGCCGCCGTCCGCTACTCGCTGCACGGGCAGGGCGCCGGGACCGAGTTCACCATCGAGGAGTGGACAGGCCGCATCTACGCACAGAAGAAGCTGGACCGAGAGCAGCGCGCCGTCTGGCGTTTCCTGGTGCTGGCGACCGACGAGAACGGGGCGGGGCTCACCGGCTTCGCCGACGTCATCGTGGAGGTGCGGGACGTCAATGACAACGCGCCGGCGTTCCCATGCGCTGTGGAGAGCTGCTTCGTGGGCCACGTGCCAGAGAACTCACCGGCTGACACGTCCATCATGGACATGAGGGCCACAGACCTGGACGACCCCAAAGCCGGGAAGAACGCCATCCTGACGTACCGCATCATGCAGAACGTGCGCAACGAGATCAACCTGAACTTGTTCTCCATCAATCCCTCCACGGGGACCATTTATACAGTGCTTCGTTCCCTGGACAGGGAAGCAGTGGATCGGTACTTCGTGGTGGTGGAAGCTCAAGACGGGGGTGGTCTCTCGGGGACCGGAACTGCGACTATTATGGTGTCTGACGTCAATGACCACACTCCCATTTTCACCCAGAAGGTGTACACAGCCTCTGTGACCGAGAACCTGGACATCAACAGTGCAGTGCTGGTGGTGTCCGCCACAGATGGAGACCAGGGAGAGAATGCGCTGATGACCTTCAGCATCGTGGGAGGCGACGAGGACCGCAAGTTCTTCATCGAGACGGACAAGGTTAATCGGCGGGGGACGGTCCGGCTGAAGAAGAAGATCGACTTTGAGAAGCCCCATGAACGTACCTTCAACCTGACCCTGAAGGCGGAGGACATGGACTTCTTCAGCCTGGCCTACTGTGTCATTCAGGTGGAGGATTCCAACGACCACGCGCCTGTCTTCTTCCCCCAGTTCTACGACGCAGGCTCCATGTTCGAAGACGTTCCCATCGGGACGATAGTTGCTCAAGTCACTGCCGTTGACTTGGACTCAGGCCAGAATGGGAAGTTCTTCTACACCATCGTCCCTGAGTCTGATCCCCATGACCAGTTCCTGGTGGATAAGAATGGATGGGTGGTTGTGGCAGGTTCTTTGGATCGAGAAAAGATCTCTCAGCACCGCCTCATGGTTCACGCTACAGACATGGGCAACCCGGCGCTGACGGGCACATCCATCGTACTGGTGACTGTGCAGGACGTCAATGACAACGGGCCGGAGTTTGAGGCACCTTATAAGCCAATCGTGTGGGAGAACTCGGCTGCACCCCAGATAGTCCGTATGAACGAGACCTCGGTCCTGCTGCACGCCACCGATAGAGACTCCACCCCCAACACCGGGCCCTTCGCCATCCGCCTGCTCACACAGAGCCGCGACGCGGCTGCCTTCAACCTGACAGACCTCAGGAACGGCAGCGCTCTCCTCACTGCCCTGCTCACCTTCGACCGTGAGCAGCAGAAGGAGTATCTCCTGCCCATCCTGATGATTGACAGTGGAACTCCTCCAATGAGCTCCACCAACACGCTGACTGTTACCATCGGCGACCGGAATGACCATCCCCATGAAGCAGGCCACACTGATTTCATCGTTTACAGCTACAAAGGTAAACGCCCAAACACCTGGTTTGAATAGATATTACTATACATATATATGTGTGTGTGCATGTGTGTGCGTGTGTATTTAAATATCAAGCCTTCTAATGAAAATTTATTGTTTTGAGCAGACCATGAAGCAGGAATTTAATAGGCATGCAAACATGCCTGTTTTAAAAGACGTCTATTTTATTGACAGGATTACATACTTAACACTGCTATTTTCCTCTGCTCCGGTGTTCAGTAAGCAGGTTCTGTATTTTCCACAGGCTTCCTGCCAACAGCCCCACTCGGACAGGTTCGATCCCCCGACCTTGATGACTGGAATGAGAAGCTTTACCGACTGGAAGGCAAGACCTCCAGGTACCTTGATCTCCACGTGAAGCTCACACCGGGTTCGGGTGAGACCTGCTAAGTGGCAGGATGAGAAAAGCCTTCCAGAGAGCGGCGTCACGCGGCGTGTGACGCATTAATCCTTCACAAGGATTGTGGCAGCGGGTTTAGCTAGCGGTAACGCCAGCGCTAGCTCACGCTCGGTGCCGTGCGCACCATCGTCTGCGGATCCTAACGAGCCGTCCGTCACACTGAGCGTCGTCTGCCTCCGCTTGTACCCCAAAGTCACCCTCGCTGCCTCATCACTGCCTCCTATTTTCATTCCTTCTCGTTTTTCATGGAAAACCATCGCTCTGTTCAGCTTAACATCCTTTAATTACATGAGCAATTGCCTGTTTAACACTATTGCTACTATAAAAATAAATTATTGTGCAAAATACATATGAGCCAGTGATGTATCCTACCTAACAAATAGGCAGAAATCGTGTGATGTTAAATCACGACTCTGAGCAGACTCTCTGAAGCGACTCTTATTTGTGGACAGACAGATTTGCCCCAGATAGGTATCAGGAGGATTGAGTGTCGTTACTGCGGATAATGGACTCATTACTGTATTCCTGAAGTAATAGTTTTGTCCTTGGCCGCACTTGGCACCATCATCTGTAGTCTGGAAGGCGTCTTCGATCCAGGCCATATTTTATTTGCTTACTTGACAGTTAATTACTTAATTTGGCTCTTGCACTGAAGGCCATTGCCAATACGCAGCTCAATTTCTGTTACAGAGTCGTGATTGCACTTTTTAAAATCTAATCTGAATAGGATCCAGGGTCAGCCCCGTGCCCTTGCTGACATACAGCCCTGCACACGACAGACGGGTTTGGACCTAGTGCTCAAAACACACACAGCACAACTGGATCGTTTTGCTCCAGAAGCTTTCTGCTGTGAGACGGGAGCTGTGGGTCATAGCTGATGGGACATTGGCTCGCCTGTCCCCTGTCTGCCGCTTCGTGTGACTTACAGTCAAGCTGTTCCACTGGAAACCCATGGCTGGTACACTAACCTTACTGGGAACAGTGGTGGCTTAGTGGAGGAACTTGAGGCGGTCGTGCGGTTGGGGGAAGGCATTGTGTTGCTATGTGAGAGTGAAAACAAGTGGTAAAATCTGTTTGTTTTGAGATATTTGCTGCTTATACATTCAAATTACAAATTCTTTATTTAACAGACACTTATCTAAAGCAATGTACAATTGAAACAGGGTCAGACAGCCCCCAGTGCAATCAGGGCTTAAGGGCCTTGCTCAGGGACCCGGCAGCGAAACACTGCTGACTTTGGGATTTGAACCAACAACCTTCAGGTCACTGTCACAGCAACCTAAAGGCTGATTTATATTTATCAGTCGAGCCTATGCAGAGATCATGCTATGGCCTACGTGAGTGGCCTATGGTGCAGAAGTAAAAAAATACCCTTTTTGATGCTCTGCCTGTGATCGTAAGGTTGTCGGTTGTAGGGTTAGGGTTAGGGTTAGTCGGCAGATTGTTTTCACTGAGCAAGGCCCTTATCCCTTGATTGCTCTGGGTCAGCCACCACCCCCACACTGCTTCGTCACTGATAGGTCCTGTTTGGGTACAAGCTTAGGGAAAACACCTCTGTCTCTCAGGCACTTTGTGCTGAACCGGAGCTCTGGGCAGATCAGCCTGAAGGCCGACACTCCGCCTGGGAGCTACAGCCTGCAGGTCCGGGTGTCAGACGGAACCTGGCCCGACGTGATATCCAGCGCAGAGGTCACCATCATGGAGCTGAAGGAGGAGGCCGTGGAGAACGCCGGCTCCCTGCGCTTGTCCAGTGGGTGATCCTGCCTTCTCAGCAACCATCTAAACCCCCCCAGGGCTCACAGGGAGAGGGTGGGTAACACGGCCATGATGATCGTCCCCCTGCAGACCTCACCCTGGAGGAGTTCTTCTCAGGGGCCCCGGGCCGGGAGAGCCGATTCCTGCGGCTGAGGCGCTTCCTGTCCGAGGTCCTGCAGACGGAGCCCGAGTGCGTGCATGTCTTCAATGTGGCCGAGAGCCGGCGGCGCCCCCGTGAGGTCACCGTGTGGTACGCCGCCCAGGGCTCGCCCTACTACAAGGCCGAGAAGCTCAATGGGAATGTGGCCTTGCACAGGGCCAAGGTATGCACACACACACACGCGCGCACACACACAGATACATACGCGCACACACACACGCGCACACACACGCACACACATGCGCGCACACACACACGTGCACACACACACACATACGCGCACACACGCGCACACACACGCACACACACGCGCACACACACACGCATGTAATCCTGTCTTTACGCCGACATCCCTCTGACTCATTTTAATGTAAATAACGGCCCCCAAGCCAAACCTCACAAAACTGGAAAACATGTCAGAACTGATAACAAGCAAAAGGTCTCAACACTTCTCATAATAAATAAAAATCTGACTGGGGATTTCTGGGAAAAGAAAACATTGTTGCAGCTCACAGAGACACACAGATAGCAGCTGCTTATTTTGGAGGGGGGGGGGGGCTGTAGGCCTGTTTATTAAGGGCACAGAGCTTCACTTCTGCTCCAAAACCTCAGCCTGCTCTAAAGCCACAATCCCTTTTCGCTCATTGCTGCCAGCAGGACTCTCAGTCATGCTCCCTGGCCCGGTTTCTCTGCTTTATTAAAATGGGTTAGGGTTAGGCTTAGGGTTAGGGTTAGGGTTAGGCATGACATGATCGTGCGCGATGAGCTTCCTGCTGAATGCTGCGCGGCTCTCCTTTGCAGCTGGAGGCGGTGCTGGGCACCCCCGTCTCCCAGGTGGGCGTGGACGACTGCGCCTACAGCGACTGCGGCTCCACGGGGGGCTGCAGCAGCACTGTGCGCTTCGCCGACACCCCCACCCCGCTGAGCCGGGGCAGCACTGCGCTGGTGTCGCTGGCCGCGTCTGTCGGAGCCCGGTGCGGCTGCCAGGCCCGGGAGAGCCCCCACCTCGCCTGCGCCTCCTACCCGCGCGGCCCGTGCCTGAACGGGGGCTCCTGCGTCGACGGGGAGCTGGGATACAGGTGAAGGGGTCGGCACCAACCCAAGGGGATCTGCCCGGGGCCCCCGGCTCAGGGGGGTGGGGTTCGCAGAGTGTTTTTAGTAGTGTGTAGGGTAGAGTGTGTTCGGGTAGAGTATGTTCGGTAGAGTGTGTTCAGTACAGTGTGTTCAGTACAGTGTTTTTAGTAGTGTGTTCAGTAGAGTGTGTTCGGCTGGAGTACGTTCGGTAGAGTGTGTTCAGTACAGTGTGTTCAGTAATGTTTTCGGTAGAGTATGTTCAGTAGAGTGTGTTCAGTACAGTGTGTTCGGTAGAGTGAGTTTGGGTAGAGGAGCGGTACGAAGAGCGTGAGAACATCAGATAAGAGGGTGACGATCTGGTAGTATTTTACACTTTTAACAACAACGACTAGCATAGCCATTTCAGTCCTTTTAAAAACAAAGTTGGAAAATCCCACTAAACAAAGCGCATGCAATAGTGCAACACAATGCGGGTAATATGAAAGAAGCAATGGATGACTTAGGAGTCGCTGGCTTGGGCTGTTTTGCGCTCTCGCTACAGTTTGTGATACATGAGCGGCTGCTATTACCACGAGGTGTAAGTGACTCTCTTGCCAGTGGGAGAGAAACTGTGGGGCATTTTAAGCATTTACCACTTGCATATACTCTCTTGGAAGATATTCACTGCAAATGCCTCAAAAACGTTTAAAACAAGATGTACAAACCAGGTGGAACAGTACATTATGTATGTTTCTAATAGCTTAATAAGAGATTTTTTGGGATTGTTTAAAATTTACTAGTTAAAAATATGAATTATATATAAAGTATAAATATTTATATTATATGTATCTATTATATTAAAATATTAAAATAAAAAGAGCTCTGGTATCAGAATCTGTATTCGTATCCGCAGTTGTGTATCGGAATTGGATCAGAACTGAAAAAATTTGGATCGACCCATTTCTAGGCTCCGGACCCCCCATGACCCTAAGTGGTTGTTTGTTCTACTAATAATAAATTGTAGTTGTTGTTGTTTGTTGCTGTGTTACGAGCTACAGCCCTTTCATGAAAACTGAGGGCTTTAAGGTCCAACAAAATGCCCCTTTGTGCCATGCCCCCTGCAGGTGTCAGTGCCCCCCCATGTTCGATGGGCCCGAGTGCCAGCAGGTGAAGCACACGTTCGGTGGGCACGGATACGCCTGGTTCCCGCCGCTGAAGCCCTGCTTCCACAGTCGCATTTCTCTGGAGTTCCTGACGGAGGCGGCGGATGGGCTGTTGCTGTACAACGGACCTCTGGGTCCCACGCAGGCCGGTGATGTCGAGGACTTCATCGCAGTGGGTGAGGGCTGGACCCAACGTGTTACATCACGGCGCCTCTCTATCCCCCCCCCATGTCAGTCACTGTAACGTCCCCCAGGGACGGGAACAGGAAGGCAAACCGCGCGTCGCTCCGAGCCGAAGCCTTTCGCTGTCCTTTCCTCTGTTTGCAAATTAAAGTGCCGCTTCTTTCCTTTCCGTCACTCTGCTTGATCTTCAGACTTCGCTGATGTCCCAAATGTCCCCAGAGGTCACGGGTCCTGCCACGGTTGGTGACGAGGCCCCTTTTCCGTTTTATAATTATCGAGTCGACTCGTCCGCATCGCGGGCAGGAAATCGAACCTGGGCACGATTGATCCTGCTGAGGCATTTTTCACGGTCTCGGCTCGATACCGCGCCTGCCGACGGCGGCCTGCGGGTCCTGCGGGTCCTGCGGGTCGCCGGGGGTTACGCCGATGCTGCGCTGAGGCTGTGCTCAGCAGACCTGTTTACCCGCGAGCGTCTGCGTCTCACAGAGTACAGGATGCCAAGCGGACAGGGAAACGGCATTTTAATCAGCTGACAGACGCTGTAATCTCAGCTGCTGAGTGAGATATATCAGGATGTGTCTGTGATTGGCTTTCCAGTCGCCCCCAGTGTGCCTGTAACAGTTAATGTCAAACTGTGGTGGTGAGTCAGAGAACAACAGAAACTTCTTTAGACATTCCAGCCTCCTCCAGGGTTCCTGTTTACAGCTTGTTGCTCTCAGTTTCCTAAAAAAAAGCCCCCCCCCCCATGCTAGGTGTGACATCACATTGGCTGTGCCACTCTCCCGCAGAGCTGAAGAACGGGCTTCCGACCCTGAGTGTGAGCCACGGGTCTGGGGTCCTGACCTTGCAGCTGGCCCCGCGGCTGGGGGTCGCCGATCGGCGCTGGCACCGCCTCGACATAATGAACGACGGCAAGGTACGCCGGGGCGCTGGGGGGGGGGGGGGGGGTTGGAAGAGGCAGAACATAATACAGCAAGAGAGAGAAAGATGGTTGACAGGGCCGTGGGTAGGATGATGGAGGGGGATTTAAGTGAGGAGCATCGTAAGCGGGCTGCCGCCTCACTAATGGGTTTTACCGGTTTGCTGAGGGTAATAACCTGATTTAACATGGAAGGCTTAGAGGAGACACCTGGCACAGTCACTGGCTGATAAACCCACAAACCTCAAACAGGAACAATGGAAATGCCCAGTAGACTTAATATCAAAGTGACTTACCTTTCCAGTAGCTACAAACAAGGGTTCAGGTGAGATGGAGAGGGAGGTAACTGGCAGGACAGCGTGGGCCCACAATCCCCCTACTGGAGTACAGTACATCTCCAAAGTCAGGAATGGTGTGACTGAGCTGGGGCTTTTCACATAGACTGTGCAGTTCATGCTGGATCTCGGGGGCTTTTCACACAGACTGTGCAGTTCATGCTGGATCTCTGCTCCGGAGCCACAGCAGCCGAGGGGGACGGGCGGGGGTCTGAGGTGCCCGAGATGGAGGAGTCAGCCTGCAGGGCGTCTGGCGAGACCCCAGGGATGGCGAGGTAGGAGAGCGGTTACCCCGTGCACGGTTAGGGCACTGCTGCTGGTCCCCGGTCACATGGGACTGCTAAGCTCCACCCCATGACAGAAATGATTCGCCGATGACAATTGTTCATTGACCGAAATGAGATGATGATAAAATAAAAATGAATCCATAATGCTAATAACTATGATAGAATGAACTGACAATTTCGTCAATGAATAAAAAGACAAAAATGTCAGGAAGAGGCAAATTTGAAATTTGGGCATGATTGGATAATGTTGATGTAACCGGTTTGAAGTGCAGAAATTACACGTCTGGTTAGGTGACCACTACTCTCTGCAAATTGTATCACAGAATCCCTGCCCTGATCGGCAAATTTTTTCAGCAAGATTAAAACATACTGAAATAGTGTTTCTTTTGGACAACCATCAAAATACTGTAAACTGCGGAATAATGTCTGACAGTCTGTGCCACACTTGGCTTTAAGTAGGAAAGAAATACACCAACATATGGATAAATTTCACATTTGACACGAAAGAAGACAAGACTCAGTCTGCGTGGAGTGACAGTAGCCACGCAGACAGAACCTCGAACCACCAAGAAATTAAAACAAACAAATAGTTGCTTTTTCTTTCAAAGCTTAGAAATAAACCCAACCCAGCTGGTTTTCACTATTCTGATATTTATTTATGTTTTTGACAGAGGACTTGAGTTTTCTTTATTTAAGTTCTTTATTCACGATGTTTTCCTTATAATATAATGAAGATGTGTTATTTGCAGGTCTTTTGCATTTTGGTTATTTCTATTTAGTTATAAAGTTCAAATGAAGGCATTTTAGAATTAGTGAGGTGTCTCATATTGGCAGTGTGAAAACTACAACAGCAGCTACATTTGTGTCCTTAAAGACAGATTGTTCATACCGCAGCTTTAGAGAAGTTTGTGGAGAGGATAGAGGTAGACCAGTCTGTGTGTGTACACAGATAATTTAATGAAATTTTTAAAGAAATGTGAAAATTTTGTATTGGGTTATGACTGAACTGGCTTCACAGATTTAGTCAACTAAATTTCTTGTCATTATTGTTGACTCAAACTAGATTAAGACTGAAACAATCTGATGAGTAAAATATGACCAAATTGCATTACACCTAAATTGCGTTTTTGTCAAAAGACTCACTAAAAGTGAATTGAAAGATGCTGTCTGCGTTAACGCTGCTGGGCTCTCCGGCACGTTCACAGATTCCTCAATGTGAGGCAGCCCCTGCAGCTGGGCGGGGTGAAGCAGACCCCCCCACACAGACGCTTCCGGAGCTTCAGAGGCTGCGTGCAGAACCTGGTGGCGGACAGTCAGGTACGCACTCCCTGGGCCAGCAGCCAGGGGGCGACGTGGGGAGTAGGAGATGGGGGAGGAGATCCAGAATAACATCAGAATAAAAAGCACCAAATCATTTTAACTACTGTAACTGGGGCTGTGTGAGTCTATGGGTGTTTCTCAATACCAAGAACACAAAGACCGTACTTGTAGTCTTGACAGTAGCGGTCTTGCTAACTCGCCTCCCAAGAATGAACTTAACGAACCATCGGATTGGTCTTGTTTGACAAGGATGCAACTGATGCATCTTTGATCTTTGGGACGGGGCAAGAACAACATCCGGGGATGTTTGCCGTCCTCCATACTTCTGTTCTTAGCATTGGAACTGGTCTTCGGCACTGGAAGATGACATAAAACGGGTACGCGAGAGCACGAGTACGGTCAAGTAGGTGTATTGAAAAACTCCTTATAAGTCTGCGTCAGCAGGCAGCCTTTGGGGGCTGGGGGGGTCGTGCCCCCCTTCCCAGGTTTGTGTCCAGCTGTCTGCATCAAGTGCCTGAAAACAGGGATTAAAATTTCATCTGATATTACAGAGTAAGAGCAGAACAGTGAGGTCCCTCCTGCACCGGTAGAGCAGCAGTCTCTCTGATGCCATTTGAACCTGAGATTCTTTCAGCCCAGGCTTTTTTTGCACCTGGGATTCTCCTGAGTGCGTGAACCTTTGAGGTACGCAGCCAATCAGCACGCAGCTCCTTCCTTGGGCAGGTGTACGACCTGGGGGGTCCGGCCGAGAGCATGGACAGCTCACCGGGCTGCAGCCTGACGGACGGCGTGTGCCTGACCGCGGGGGGGCCATCCTGCGGCGACCATGGCACATGCCTGGGCGAATGGGGCTCCTTCAGCTGCGACTGCCACCCGGGATTCAGCGGACACAAATGCGACAGAGGTGTGTCCCATTCCTCCGGGGCGCTCCGCCCGCCCCGCTGCTTTTGCCTTTATTGCCTGAAGATGGCGCCGCAGGATGAGGTGTCCGGCAGCGTGTGTGAGACCCGTGTCCGCCCCCCTCCCCCAGGTCTGCCTGAGTGGTCCTTCGAGAGGGACAGCATGCTGCAGTACCGGCTGCGGGATGCGGGCGATCCCCGGCACACCGACATCCAGCTGCTCCTGCGCACTCGCTCCCCCAGCGGCGTCCTGCTCAGCCTCGCCTCACACAACACCAGCCGGCACATCACCCTGGAGGTCTCAGCACCGCCCCCTGCTGCCTCTGCACTGTACCTACACCCAGCACCGTCCCGAGCTGTTCATTACGAGCTCAAGGCAGGAGGCTCTAGATAAACGACCCTTTTATTAATTATCCACTACCAAGACGTGCGTCCTTCAGCGGAGGCGGGGACAGGCAAGGTGACCCTCCGGTATCTGGGCTTTTCACCGCAGGCCTGGTGTCCTTCGCCGGCACGGTATTCTGGCCCAGCCTCCAAGCGCTTTTCACATTCAGCTAACAAGTGCAGCTCTGTCCCCTCCTCTTAAGAATGACCTTTATCTCTCCTTCTCTCCTTGGCGCTCGTTCTCAGCCTCCCGAGCCTGAATTCAAATGAGCTCGATTGGCAGCGAGGAAAATTCTAGCTTTTTTCTTTTTTCTCTCTACCAGAAACAGAAAGTGCATAAAACGGCCCCATAGAAAGACGAAAAGTCCTGAAAAAACGGCACCAGCGTCGTCCATAAACATGACAAATCACCATTATCACACAAACATAAATATCATCACAACAATGATTATAATTCTGTAAAATATAAAATGAATGCTTGTGAACGGCACTGTACAGTAGTTCGTTTACTGAAAGTCCCTCTGTCCTGTCAGATCGCAGATGGGCACCTGAGCGTCCGTGCCGACGTGGGTGAGGGGGAGCGGAGCCTCATCCTCGCCGGGCCGCGTCTAGACGGGGGCCAGTGGCTGCTGGCGGGCCTCGTGCGGCACGACGGCCTTTTCACACTGCGGTTGGAACGAGGTGGTGGGACCCACGAGGTCAGCGCCATGCTGGCCCAGAGCCGGCGACTCGCGGTGCCACCCGCCACTCTGCTGCTGGGCTCGGGCCCCGGCCGTCTGGCCCACCAGGACTTCCACGGTAGGCCCGGAACCCAGTCACATCACACCCTCTAGCTGGTCAGCCCTGGACGGCGTGGAGGAAGTAATCTTTCACAGACAGGGATGAAAAGTTCAGGTCCAGAAAGTACAGATCCGGACCTAGATTTTGTTTCAACCAACCAGTACAGTACTCTGTGACTGTGACTCTTTATACTCAGCTGGTTGGTTGAAATAAAACCCTGGTCTGGATTTGTACTTTCTGGACCTGAACTTTCCACCTCTGTCTGTGAAGGATTTTTTTGTGAGTAACTTCCCCACACTGTCCATGGAACATTTTAGATGGATAAATGGGGCTGAAGATGCAGAGATCAGTCCGCTTGCATGAGTAACATCACAGCCCCAGAGAATTCAGCCTGTCTGGGCAGAGGGGATTTTCCTGGGGAGACTTTGTGGCACCTTGGACATGTCCTGTTCTTACACCTTTTATTCATAATGATTAATCAATTCTTTAATTGAGTGGTTTACTAATTATCTGCTGGAAAATCTGTTTGCAGTTTTATTGATCTTTTTTCTGCAATGACAGCAGAGACGTGGGGGTGGGGGGCAGACTGGGGGGGCCACTCACTGAGGCCGTGTATCCCACGCCACCTTCAGGCTGCCTGAGGGACGTGCGGATCAGCGGCCACTCGGTGCCTCTGGATGGCCAGAGTACGGATTTCGGCGCTGTGACAGAGCGCCAGGGGGTGCAGCCGGGCTGCCGGTCGGACGCCTGCGCGGGCAGGCCCTGCCACGCCCCACTGAACTGTGTGGACCTGTGGAGGAGGCACGAGTGCAGGTGGGACATCTCACCCTCCAGGATTAGTGTGCGGGATTAAGAGGGCATCTGGGTTTGGGGCTTTAAAATCGGTCCCATCTCTGTCCCCTTTCTGCAGCATGGCCCTCTAGTGGCTACGATTCGGAATTGAAAATGAATTCCAAATCTGAAATCGGGTACTTAAGGTCAGGAATTTGATACTTGTTATAAGATTTTAATTTCAGTTCAGCTTATCGATTACTATGTGCGCATTTTCAAATACACCACATCTTTTATTACACATCAGGGCTTGAATTTCATTGCTTTGGTCACAATATTATTTATTCCCACAGTCTGTTATCAAAATATGGGAATTTCCTGCTTTGTCTTACTGTAGGGTGTGACACACAAAAAAACAAAAGTATATAGATATATATTTTAGATATATGCCCAAAAAAACAGAACCAGTAGCTGTAACGTCTTCAGCATGCAGAACTGCCAGTGCTGTTTGTCATCAATACTAGTCACCGTCAGGAGGCTGATGGGGAGGTTCTAGAATATTCCCAGTGGGCTGTCAAGACTGGAAATGGGTTGAGAAACACGAGTCACTGCAGATTGGACCCCTGTACAGGCACACAACTGCATTGTGAACAACAAGGCATCTTTCATTGTGCAACACGACTCAACCATTTTAAATCCTGAGAGCAGAACTTCCCTGATATTAGTCACATCTTGGGTTCGTGGTGGAATTGAGGAGAAGCAGGTTAAACATCAGACTTTTACAATACATTTGCAAGGTTCAGTGCAATTTTTTTTTTTTTATATATATACTGTATATAGGGTTATGGTTTATATATTAGGGTTAGGATTAGGGGTTAGGGTTAGGCTTAGAAAGGTTTTGGCTTTTACAGACATACCAAGGTGTTTTTGGGATAGTTCTGGGTCCCAGCATCCAGGGAAACCACAATTTAGTTAACATTTTTTGTACTGTCCCAGGAAGTGGTGTGTCCCCAAATTAATTAGATGTGCTATCCCTAGACTTTGATTAATATTTGCCCACTGACTGACTGTGCTTGAAAGAGTCCTTTGCATTTCTTAGTGTTTTATTTATACGTGTTGTACATTATATGCACTTTATTTCTACAGGTTTGCACACATACAGGTTTAAGCAAGCTAAAATGCATTTTCCAAGTGTGAGTGTACTTTAGTTTTACACGTGCAGTGGTTTAATATCATTTTTATGCAGCCTACTGATTTTCGCTTATGGTATTCATGTATAGCCATGTACTTTGCACAAACACAGAGGAAGGATATGTTTGGTATCCAAATGTTTGACTTCATATTTTTAGCACATCAAAATCAAAACAGGCAATCGATAAGAATCAGAATCGATAAGCAGAATCGAAAACAAAATCTGATTCCATAAAATCATGCAACAGCCATGCGTACTATTGGCTCCCAATAGGATATTGTATGTATCTGTGTGTGTATTTCAAGTTCTCTGCTCCCTGCGTCTCCCCAGGTGTGCGGCAGGTCAGGTCATGGTGGTGGACAACGTGTCAGGGCTCCAGCACTGCGCCCCATCCCCATGTGCACCCTCCACCTGCCACAACGGTGGCACCTGCCTCACCCAGTCACCCCAGAACTTCCAGTGCCTTTGCCTGGATGGCTTCCGGGGCCAGTGGTGTGAGGTGAGCCAGATGAAGGCGCTCCGCCTGGCCGCCCTGAGCCCCAGCTCCATCCTGGCCATCAGCATGTGTCTGCTCGTCTTCTTCGGTAATTACAGCAAAGCTCCACCCCTTCCAGCAGCAGGCTCCGCCCATCCTTGACGACCATTTTCATTTAAACCAGTGCTCACAGCCAGATTAAACCAGGCAGGCTGTTCTGAGATGTAGCCAGAGGCTGAAACAGGGGCTTCTGGGTATGCGCTGAGCGAGGGGAGAGTGACAGGTCGGCAGCTTCCATGGTGACAGCCCCCCCCCCCCCAAGAACATCAGCACCCCGTTAGAAGAAAGAAAGCAGAAAGACAGCATATGCAGAGATGGTGTTGGAGAAATCCAGTTCTTCTTGCCACTGGGTTCACTGGCACAAAGGGCAGAGCGCCAGACCCGTCTGCTGGTGGATAATCCGATTGGTACCAGCACCATGGTGGGTGCCAGCCGCACATCCGGCCGGGTGGGGTGCCACTCCCTCCCCCTCCTAATGCAAAACAGGAGGAGACACACATTGCAATTCACAAGTGGATGACTCAAGAAATGAAACAGTGTGTCAGCAAGCCAACGTGGCCGATGAGCGTCTGGCAGGGCTTTGGCCGTCAATAGAGGCAGCGCTGCCTCTCATTCTGTCATGGGTTTGAACGGGTCAGACTGCAGTAGTTTCACTCACGCTCATTCCTTTCTGTACCTCCCCGCCCCACCCCTCAGCGGTTCTGGTCGCCGTGACAGTGTGGAACCAGAAGGGCAGCCGAAGTAAGTTCCAGAAGCAAGGCGTGTACCACATCCCGGCAGAACACGAGAGCTGGGAGGACATCCGAGAGAACATCCTGAATTACAACGAGGAGGGAGGGGGCGAGCAGGACCAGGTAGGGCCCCCCCCCTAATGCAATGTGTAACGGACACACAGATTTTATCACCCTCATAACACGTTTTCACCCTTCATCACTCTCATAATGCAGATGTTTCCACCCACTTGTCACCATTGTAACGCATTGTAACCCATTCCAGTAACACAGATGTTTTCACCCGCTGTCGTCCTCATAACGCAGATGTTCTCACCCGCTGTCCTCCTCATAACGCAGATGTTCT